TCGAAGTCTGCTCTCTTCTCAATGTTACAGACTGCAGCTTTAAGTTGAAAGCAGTTCACACAGGACATCACAGAAAAGCATATAACCTGGTTAAGCGTTCAGGTCGAGTGGGAGTTAGTTGGATGACTTCACAACATGCAGCAGGAGCTGCCCATATAGTTCAATGCAGAGCAGCCAGCAGACGCTGATGAGCAGGGGGGTCCAGAAAATGAATCCTGAGCGGGTAACAAACAGGGGTCCAAACCAGAAGATGCCAAGGGGATAATCCAAGCCAGAGTCAGAAGACAGGTCCAAGGTAGTTTGCAGGCAGAATCCAGTTAACAGTCCAAAATCAGATCAGGGTACAGAGCAGAACAGGGGAAAGCAAAACTCAGAAGTCTGGGTAAAAAAATGAATTAATATATGGAAATCAAAAAACTTACAGATTGCTAGAAGACTCTCACACTCGGCTCCAATAATCTGGCACTGGTGGCTGGAAAACAAGCAGCCTAAATAGAAGCTGGAAACAGGTGGATCAGACAAGCATTAATGAGAACCTGGGCAGTTAAACAGATTAATGGAATGAGCAATCAAGCCAACCACCAGTGCCCAGATGAGGAATGGCAGATAGAGGCTCTGTTCGAAATTAAGGGCTGTGAAAATAATCCGTGAAAATAAGGAGACCGGAACAGTTTTGGCTGTGAATTCAAACAGGTCTACCCTTCGGCGGGTTTCCCCACCGTAGGCTATGTTGCTTAGCAACCATCACAGTTGACACACAAAACAAGAAAAGAATGAATACCGAAGTTTTTAAAACTGTTTATTTTTTTTATTGTCAACAAAGACAACATTCATGAGAATCCAGAGTGGAATAAAGGTGCCAACCACCGGGAGCAGAGACAAATAAAATCAAATGTAATGATATAAACCTTAGCCAGTTAAATAACATGTTGCTGTCGTTTTGGACATCTCTGATGTTGGTGCTATTTTCAAATATCCATTACTGTTAAAATGTCCATTGCTGGATATTGGTTATTTATTCTCCAGGTGAACAGTTTTATATTGTTAAAAAACTTGACAGTATTTTGTTGTTTATATTTTAACTCTTCCCTATTATGTTATTTTTAGACATTTTTCTAAGGTCCTCGTTTGTCTGACCTTTTTCAGTAATCTTTCTGCTGCAATAAATTTGCCCATTGAGGGATTATAAAGGGATTTTCTATGCTATTCTATAAAAAGGCAGAAAAATATAAGTAAATCTAATCAATATATGTATAAAAAATATATCTGCAAAATCTCTAATTTTCAAAAACAAAAAATACTTAGTTAAGCAAATTGTGCAAAATGGCAATAAAAAACTAAAAATCCTATCAGATTTATAGTCCCCACACTGTGGATATATTAGAATCCGTAACAGATAAAAACCTTTAGATAAATCAAACATTACAGGTGTTGTAATTTTATGTTAAATTCTATTCCCAGCCAGCTGGAAATGTATATTTCTGATACTTTAAGATGTGTAATGCCCTCCCCGGTAGGGGGGTAAAATATCTTATTTAATCAGATATTATTTCAGCTGTTATATAGTGTTTATGACACACAGTCCTACTAACTGTGTGTTAGAACAATAGATGAAAGAGTGATTCGAGCACTACTCATGGTCAAACAGTTATTTCTGCACACAGGCTACATGCAATAATTTCACCACAACTTCTGTTCAAAATATAAGAGTTTATTAACCAAATTTATTCAGCCCCAAGTCAAACATATTTCAGTTTAACACTCAAAGAGGAAGGGGAAAATGGCTGAAAAACATATTACAGTTTAAGATGGATCTTGTGTTTGAAACCAAAATTTATCTGGAATAATTTGGGATATGATCAAATTAGCTTTTCACTAATTTTAAAGAAATTGGAATGTTTTCAGACCAATTCACAATGCAAATCCATGAGGTGAATAAAACATTATTTGGCCAAATAATGTTTTATTAAATGATTTTCTGAATCAAGAACCAAAAACCTTTAATTAAATGATTCTTTACCATCTTTGAGATAGCTAGCAGCGCATAGACATGAGGATTCCACTAAATGACTCTTGGTCATACTTGCTAATGGAAATGTAATGAGCATTTGAGGAACACATGAACACTAATATTATATCAGTGTTTAAACCAGGCATGCCAGAAGTCGGTCCTCGAGGGCCGCTGTCCTGCAGGTTTTAGAGGTTTCCCTGCTTCAGCACAGCTGATTTGCATTGATAGCTGATTAACAGGCTTTTGCTGAACTGCAATCATCAGAATCAGCTGTGCTAAAGCAGAGAAACCTCTAAAACCTGAAGGACAGCGGCCCTCGAGGACCGACTTTGGGCATGCCTGGTTTAAACCCTTAGTGAATAAAGCTTGTCTAAGCTTTAGCAACAGCTCAACACATATTCCTGTGTTGAGCTGTTGCTCAACACAGGAATTACTTTAGCATCAATTAGCGTCATCTTTACTCAGCAGTAAACACATGATATGATTAGCATCATCAAAAGACATACTGCTTGTTCTGTCCCTAATCATGCCAGACCTGCAAAACTTTTTCCATGTCCATTTGGAAAGCTTGAGTTTCATCCAGTTTTGCAGCTCTGCAGTAAGGGGTTCTTTGTCTCAGTCTCACAGCAGGGGTCCCCTCAGTCTCACACCAGGGCATGGTCCTCATCCAGTTTGGCTCTAAAAGTTCTGAAACTTAAGAGAAATGTGTTGCAAAAGGTCTGTTTGTCGCAGTTTGCTTCTGAAAGGTTCTGACTTGTCCTTGATGGTTCTGGGGATCTTGTTCCCCTGGGGCCTGCATCTCCACTGCGGCAGACCCCATCTCCCTGGGCAAGGGAGAGGAGGCAAGGAGAGCAGGAGCCAAAGAGTGAGGAGGCAAAAGAAGGCTGGAGCAGAAGAG